CATGCCTCTTTCATGAAGGCATTTATGGAGTCCTGTTAGGAACCCCAACAGGGGACTGAGTCATAGGTTAGATTCCTGCTCAGCTTTATGGTTTTCCAAAGTGATTCTATCAATTGCAGGTTATATTTTTATTATTGATCATCCCAGAGACTTTGCCTCCCAAAGGCCCTACCTCTAGAAACCATTGCGTTAAGGGTAAGGATTTTAGCAGTGAGTTTCAGGGGGACACAAATATTGACATCACAGTGGTAATCAAGGCCGACACTGGTACTGTTAGCTGACTCCTGGCAGTGTGGAGCGAGGGGCCCCATGCACACTTGGGTTACATTCATTTTCTATTGTGAAACAGACCGTACCTCCCAAGGGTGTACAAAAGGTATGTGAGCAGCTTAAGGAGTATAAAGTATAATTTTGATCATAAAATAAGCCCTCCAGAGCCTATCTTACCAGCAGGGTTGAAATGAGACCATTACCAGGTCTTTGAAGACTCGTGGGGGAGCCTCCTCAAATGCACCCCCCTCTTGTCCCTCAGGGGTAACCACCATCCCCTTGGCCTTCATTATAGGTCTATCTTGCATCTAGCTATCCCGAAATAATACAATACTTTGTATTGCACATTTTTAAAGTTTATGTAACTGGAACATGTTCTTCTTTGAGTTGTTTTTGTCCCCTGTGCCCTTGCACTTTTGGAGATTGATTCACGTTCGTGGATATGCAGCAGTCCGGGTTCACTGATGTCTAGTGCTCCACCATATGAGTACAGCACAATTTGTCCATGCGTTCTCCTCTGGTGGACATGTGGTTTGTGTCCAGGTTTTTCTCTTATGAACAGTGCTGCTGGAATATTTGTGTATCTCCGACATCAAGAGATTTCAGGTTATATACTTGGGGATAGGATTTCTGAGCCATCGTTTATATTCCTGGTCACCTTTGGCAGGGTCTGCTTTATTGCTTTCCAAACCGATTCTATCAATTTCAGGTGACATTTTCATTACTGATAATATCAGAGAGTCTGCAAACCTGTAGGAAGAGATATCACCCGGGAAGCCCCCTAGAGATAGCCATGATGCAGGAAATGCGTGGAGACTCCAGGCCAGTGAAATTCTGGTCAGACATTTTCCTCTTTGTTTCCTTTCCTCCTTCTCTAACCCCCATTCTTAGGTAGGGGAGGAGAAGCGTGTGCAGAAGGCTTCCAGAAAGCTGAAAATATCAGAAAACAGAAGATTCAAAATTAGAGGCAGAAAAGAAGGGGCATCCCCTAGGCTGTGTAGCTTTTGAGGGTCTGGATGTGCATCAGGCAATGGCTGGGGAGGGGTTGGCTTGCAAATATTTGCTCAGAATTTCTGGTCCCAAAGTTGAAAAGCTTTTTGTAGCAAGGAATTCTCTTAGTCACAGGAGAACTGATCGTAAGAACTGCATATTTTCTAATCTTTTGTCTGGAAGGGACATGGAAATTTGGATATATCTCTGCCTGAAATTCTTGTGATTTGACACTCAGGCCAGCCTCTTTCGAGTGTTTTTGGGAATAATTGGCCGGCATCTACCTATCCCTGTCCTTTTTCCCACTTGAGGGTCAGCCATGAGCCATTCCCATTAGAAAAAAGTAACTCTAAACCTCACCAAAAAACCTGAAAAGGAAATATTATTCCAATAATAGAGGTGAAGAAACTGAGGCTCAAATAGGTGAGTAACTTACCCCAAATGACGTTGCTCCCAGGTGGCCAACTCCAGAGTCAAAGCCCCACGTATCTAGTTCCATCTGTGCTCTTTCTCTCTGTATCTCTATCCTTCATATTGTCATTTACAATCATGTGACCCTTAACAAGTGACTTACCCTGTCTGGGCTTGAGATTAAGATAGAACAGTCCACATCAGTTTAATAATCACTTATTTAAAAATGCAGTTCCCTAGATGGACTGCTTACGTTCTAGTAAGAGCAATATTGTGGGCCTGTGAGGATCTTTTCCCTTGCCACCGTTATATCATTGTTGTTATTATTTTTATATTTGTGTCTGAAATCTCAGGTCATGGCCTCTGGCTCAGCGTGTGAGTTTAGCTGGTTCTACAGCTAGTGAGTGCCTGCATTTAGGCAGGTCTTGGCTGCAAGCTTGCTTTGGTGCATGCATTATTGGTTAGCTGTTATTTTGCTTTCATCCTGATTTGCTGATGGAGAGTGGATTTTCTCTCATAATGGACAGACAGATTTTTAGTGGAGGCTTTCCCAGGATTTGCTGTTACCAACCCACCACGTACTCTGGCTCCGACACGTGTCTCAGAAAGCAGTGAGGCTTGGCGGTACAACCAGCATGCCGAGATCCTGCTCCCCGGGGGACGCTGCTATCACTGCCTGCCAGGCTCTTTACCTCTCCAGTCACACCTCAGCCTGCTAACCGGAGAGTCAGATGCAGAGAGCAGGCATCGTTCAAATGCGAGAGACATAATAAAATCAGTTTCTAGTTTGGTGTGGCTTGGGAAGACCTGTTGCCCCCACCTAGAACACAGCTGGACGGTACATTATTCAGACCCTTCTCCTACACAACTGTCTGGCTGTCTTCCGGGCCATTCCCACCTCACCTCTTCCCTCCTACTCTGCTGGGCTGAGGAGAGAGGCTAGTGCTAGATCTCCAGGGGGCCGCTGGTCCATGGGGAACATAACGTCTGTGATCTGAGAAGTTGTTCTCTCTTGGATCAAAAATTTTTACTCTCAAAACAGAAAACTGAAATAAAAGGAGAGTCTAAGCTCTTCTACTGAAGGTCATGCCACACGAAAAATATTAGGGACCTTAAGTTCCAGTTCCTTTTGCAACTGTTTGCCCTGTAACCCTGTATCCTCTGCTTTAGTAAACTGGGCGATGAATTTCAAAGAATGATGCAGATTATAGAGGACGATGAGCGAGAAGAGGCCAGAAGTCTTTCATAGTCTAAAACAGGGAGCAGGAAACTTTTCTGTGAAGTGTTACACTGAGTATATTGGGCTTTGGGGGCCCTTCCGTCTCTGTGGAATATTATTCTTTGTTTTGATTTACGATTCTTGAAAAATATGAAAACAGTCGTCAACTTGGGATCCTTCCCACACTGGGTCAGAGCTTGAATTTGGCCTGTAGTTTTCCAGCTCCACTTCTGCAAGCTCGTTCTTCATTTTAAAGTTGACAACATATTGATTAAAAAAAAAAAAAGGAAAAACTTCAAGTGGTTTAATATGGTAAGTTTGGGGAGGAAGCAATGAGCAGAAATAGACTATCAGGACCAAGAATGAATAATTAAGAAAGAATTTCTGGGAAACAACATGAGCAAAGAAAAGGAAAGGCAAAGGACAGAGATTATTAGAATATTAGAAAAAGGACTTAGGGATGTGAGAAAGCAGTGGGGGTATGGGATGAGGACTGAATAGACTGTCTTACACAATGTGGGGAACCTGGGAAAACAGAGTAAATGAGATAGATCTTCCCTGGAGCCTAGTTAGTGGCAAATACACACCAGTCCTGGATTTGCATGGGAACTTGAGAAGGAATTTACGCCCATTTTGCGGCTTATAACTGTGGCCCCCTTTTAATCTATACAGGCCAAATCACAGACTTCCCTTGCTGCTTTCCTGCCACCTCCCAGTGCTGTGGTTTAGTGTCTGTGCCACCGGATTTTATGTTTGAAACAAACAAACAAAAAGCAAAGGAGAAACGGTGAAATCTACCTTTTGCAGATTAGCAAGAGTGGGCGGGAAGG